CTCAGCTGCTCAATCTCTCCATGGCATCACTTCTGCCTCCATCTCTGGTATCGCTACTTCTTTGGGTAGGGTCCCACATTCCGCTCATATTCTTTTTGATGATGAATTGCTATTCATCTTCAATTTGTCATTCTCAGCATAGTAAACTATGTGATTCTCAGATTCAAAATGGCCAATACCAGTCCATTTCAGCTCACTACTGCCTAGTATATAGATGTGTATGTGTTCCATTTAAAAAAAAAAAAAAAAAGAAATCAAATGATATATTGCATTAGGTAAATCTGCTGTAATAAGACCTCTTCTTTAAAGCACCGAAGAGCAAGGGTGTCACTTTGAGGACTAAGATATATCTGAACCAAGTCACGGTATTTTCACTGCCTCATAAGCATGTGAAAGTTGGACAGTGATTAAAGAAGACTGTAGAAGAATTGATGCATTTGAATTATGGTGTTGGAGGAGAATTATTAAAAGTACCATGGACCGCCAAAAGAACAAACCAATCTGTGTTGGATGAAGTACAGCCAAAATGCTGCTTAGAAACCAGGATTTCCATACTTTGTCTCTCATACTTTGGACATATTATCAGGAGGGGCTAGTCTCAGGAGAATGATATCATGTTTGGTAAAGTGAAAGGTCAGAGAAAAAAAGGAAGACCCACAACGAGATGAATTGGCACAGTGGGAGCAGCCATGGGCTCAAATGTAGCAATGATTGTAAGGTTGACACAGGACCAGGCAGAGTTTCATTTTGTTGTGCATAGGGTCTCTATGAGTCGGTGCTAACTCGATGGCACCTAACAACATGCAATCTATATACTGAGCAAATTATCAATGAAAATGGATTACATGAAGAAGAATGTGGCATCAGGATTGAAAAAAGACTCATTAACAACCTGTGATATGCAGATGATACAATCTTGCTTGCTGGAAGCAAAGAGGACTTAAAATACTAATGAAGATCAAAGACTACAGCCTTCAGTATGGATTGCACTACACTGTAAACAAAAATCTTCCCAACTGGACCAACAAACGGAGAAAAGATTGAAGCTGCCAAAGACTTCATTATGCTTGAAACCACAATCAACACTCAGGGAAACAGAAGTCAAATGATAGATTTCATAAGCAAAGCTACTGGAAAAGACCTCCTTAAAAGTGCTCAAGATGAAAGATACCAGTTTGAGGACTAAGGTGCCTAATTCCCAAGCAAAGGTCTTTTCAGTAGCCTCATATGCATGTGAAAGTTGGACAATAAGTAAGGAAGACTACAGAGGACTGATGAATTTGAATTATGGCACTGGAGAAGTATATTGAAAGTACCATGGGCTACCAGAAGAACAAACAAATCTGTCTTGGAAGAAGTGCAGCCAGAATGTTCCTTAGAAGCGAGGATAGTGAGAATTCATCTCTTGTACTTTGGACACGTTGTCTGGAGGGACCAGTCCGTAGAGAAGGACATCATGTTTGGTACAGTGGAGGGTCAGCAAAAAAAAAAAAAACCCCCAACGAAATGGACTGACACAGTGGTAGCAATAATGGGCTCAAATATAACAGCAGCTGTGTGGATGGCCCAGGACCATGCAGTGTTTCAATCTGTTTTTCATAGGGTCATCATGAGCAAAACCCAATTCAATTGTGAGGATGACACAGGAATTGGCAGTGTTTTGTTCTGTTGTGCAAAGGGTTGCTATGAGTTTGCATTGCCTTGATGGCACTTAACAGAAATACGACCATCACCAAGCACCTTCTACGTGGCCCTTCCTAGTCTGGCCTCTCCAAGAGGTAACCAGTATTCTGATCCTTCTCATCTTAGGTCAATTTTGTCTATCTTTGAACTTTATATAAATGGAATTATATAGTATGCAATCTCTTTTGTCTTTCACCAAAAATAATAGCTGTAAAGTCACCCATGTCATTATGAAGTCCAGTTATTTGTTAAAAAAAAAAATCACCATGTCATATTAGTTTATAGAAAGATATCACAGTGTATTATCCATTCTTCTGTTGACAGACATTTGGCTATTTTAGTGGTTTGTTTGTTTTTTTTTGTTATTACGAATAAAATTATTATAAACAATTTTATGCATATCTCTTTTAAAAGTATAGACTCTTCTCTTAGGTACATATCCCACTAGTAGAACTGTCAAACTATAAGGTAGTTTATGTTTAGCTATAGCAAAAATAGTCAAGTAGTTTTCCAAGGTGACTGAACCATTTTATATACTTAAAGCCTTTTGTTGTTGCAATTTGTTGTTAGGTGTTGTCAAGTTGGTTCCAATTCAAGTCAACCCTATGTACAACAGAGTGAAATATCACCCCGTCTTGCACCATCCTCACAATTGTTATATTTGAGCAACACTGTTGTTGCCATTGTGTCATCCACCTCATTGAGGGCCTTCCTCTTTTTTGTGGACCCTCCACTTCACCAAGCATGATGTCTTTCTCTGGGAACTGGTCCTTCCTGATAACATTTCCAAAGTATGACAGATAATGTCTCACCATCCTTACTTTTAAGGAACATCTGGCTGTACTTGTTTTAAGACAGATTTGTTTGTTCTTCTGGCACTCCATGGTATTTTCAATATTCTCCACTAACACTATAATTCAAAAGCATAGATTTTTCTATGGTCTTCCTTATTTGTTGTCCAGATTTCACAAGCATATGAGGCAATTGAAAACATGATGGCTTTGGTCAGGTGTATCTATCTTAGCCCTCAAAGTGATATCTTTGATCTTTTAAAATTTTAAACATGTAGCAGATATGCCTAACAAAGTAATTAGCTTGACTTCTTGACTGCTTTTTCCATGAGTGTTGACTATGAACTCAAGAAAAATGTCTTTGACAACTTTGCTCTTTTCTGTTTACCACGATACTATTTATCATTCAAACTGTGAGGATCTTTGTTGTTTTTATTTTTCTTTTAAACTGAGGTGCAACTCATACTGAAGGTTGTGGTCTTTGATCTTCATCAGTAAGTATTTCATGTCCTCTTCACTTCCAAAAGAGCTCTGGTAGCATAGTGGTTACGAATTGGGCTGCTAACTGCTAATCAAAGTAAGCAGTTCAAAACTGCCAGCTGTTCTGTGGGAGAAAGATGAGGCTTTCTGCTTCCGTAAAGATTTACTGCCTTGGAAACTTTATATAGGGTTGCTATGAGTTGGAACTGACTCCATGGCACATAACCACCACCACCACATTCACTTCCAGCAAGCAAGGTTGCATCAATTGCATATCAAAGGTTGTTAATGAGTCTTTCTCCAATACTGATATCTAGCTCTTCCTATAATTCAGCTTCTAGGATTACTAAGTATGGTGAAAGTATATAACAACTCTAGTGCACACATTTCCTAATTTAAAGCATTCAGTATCCCCGTTCTCTGCTCTAACGACTGATTCTTGGTCTCTTTCCAGGCTCTTCCTGGGTGCAGTTAAGTGTTCTGGGAATCCCATTCTTTCTAATGTTTTTCATGTCTTGTTATGATTCACATAGTTGAATGCCTTTGTATAGTCAAAACAACCAAATAGCCACTCAAATGAAGTCTTACTCCCCAACAAACCTTTCATGTAATTTATAATGTGAATTTTCTGAATCTATTTGTGTATTTCACCTATCTTCTCAGCACCAATCCCTCTTAGGTCTATCAATATGTTTTTCAGTTCTAGTTCAGATGTTGCTGTTGTCAAGTGCCATCAAGTCAGTTCTGACTCATAGCAACTCTATATAGAGTGTCCTAGGAGCAGCTGGTGGGTTTGAACTGCTGACCTTGTAGTTCACAGTCCAGTGCTTATTCTACAGTGCTACACCAGGAGTCCTCTAGTTCAGATACCTGTGAACAATTTTTAGTTCTTCTTGTTTTTCTAGAGATCCTTTATTATCACAGAAATCCTACAGTGGCATACATAGAGCTGCTATGTCCATTTCTTTTTTTATCTGAATTAAAATATTTTCAATAGAAGTCATACATTCTCATTGTAAAATTAATAAAATCCTTACTTCTTACTCTATATCTCTGTTGCTGCTGGCAATTTCTACGGTTTTGCATTCCGTTCTCTCTTCCCTACAACCTAACTCTTCTTGCCGGAGCTAAATACAATCTATATACACTAATCAACAGCTTGCTTTTTCCAGTCAGTTGTCTTAAGCTTACAAGTTAGCACATTCGTATCTATTTTTTTAAATATATTTTAACATATTTTTTTTACGTGTAGTACAGTAAGTGACATATAACATATAGCGCACATCCACCCAGTCTTCTTGGTATCAACATTTAGGCTACTTCTAGTTTGTTACTACAAATTGCCATAATAACCTTGTGGGGTATGTGCATTTTTTCTAAATTTTAACAACTGAGTCAGTATATATGTGACATAAGATCTATAAGGAAAATGCTAGCTACAGAATTAAAACTTTTCAAGGATACTAAATTATCCTCCTAAATGATTACAGTGGGTCTGTACTCTTACCAACAGTCATTCATTTTCAAAGAAGTACTAATTCTTGCAAGAATACTCACTTTAGCTTCTGTTTCTTGGAGGCTTTCCCTGAGCTGGTCCCGCTCCATTTTAAGGACCCCTTCCACACTTCTTAGGTAATCTCTTTCCTTAGTTACAGACCTCACTTCGTCAAGGGTTTCATGAAGTTGCTGAGTCAACTTTAACTTTTCCATTTCTATACTTTCCAGAATTGAATTCTGGGTTTCTGATTGCTTCTTCAACTGTTCTATCTGGTACATATTTTCCTGGAGGTCATTTTTTACCTTAAGAAGTTGTTGCTCTTTCACCTGAAGTTCTTGGATCTTGAGATAATCATACAATAAGTTAAGATATAGCAAGACAGAAATAAAAAAAACAAATAATAATTTGTAAGTTAGGTGGGCAAATCTCTATTGGTCTTCAATTTTAGGTTAATTAATTTCATTATACAAAATACTTGGTTGAAAGTCTTAGCTACACAGATAACAACTTAAAAAGATAAGATACCTGTGCTTTTAAGGCAACATTTGAGTTCTTTAAACCCATTTGCATATTTGATATTTCATTGGTCTTCTCTGAAACAATTCCTTTGAGTTTATCAATAGCTTCTTGGTGCTCTTTCAGATGCATATGAGCAATTTTTAGTTCCTCTTGTTTTTCTAGATCCTTCATTATTAGAAAAATTTTAAGAAAATTGATAAACCTATCAACCATTTCCTTTAGTATCTTAAAGTTAATTAGATTTTGTAAAAACCACAAAAATAATACCTTCAGAATAATATAACTTTTTGCTGTTAGGTGCCATCGAGTCAGTTCAACTCATAGTGATGCTGTGTAGGGTCTCTGAGGAGTGGCTGGTGAGTTTGAACCACCACCAACTTAGCGATGCAAACCAAGCCTGTGGTCCAGAGCTTATTCTAGAGCATCACACCACAACTCCATCCTCTCTAGTAGTTTAGAAGTGAAAATCTCCCTCTATCATCAGGCTTTCCACTCCCTGCCCTCTAAATCACATTTGTTGTTGTTAGTGCTTAAGTCGGTAGCGACGCACAGTGACTTGGTATAGTGTTTCTGAGGCTGTAAATCTTTTTGAGAGCAGAAAGCCTCATCTTTCTCTTGGGGAGTGGCTAGTGGGCTCAAACTGCAGACCATATGGTTCACAGTCCAGTGTTGATCCAATATAGCCAGTTTAGATGTAACCAATTCTATAGCTCAACATCATTGCATATGTGTGTGCGTGCGGAGTCTGTGACATCATAATATTCTATAGTCTGAATTTGCAACATTTATCTAACCCAAATAACTTATTTCTGTTGAGTTGATTGTGACTCATAGTGACCCTATAAGACAGAGTAGAACTAATGCATAGGGTTTCAACTGCTATAAATCTTTATGGAAGCAGATTACTCCATCATTCTCCTGAGGGGTGGCTGGTAGCATCAAATCACAGGCCTTTTGGTTAGCAGCCAAGTACTTTTAACCACAATACTACCAGGGTTCCTTCTTATTCAACTCATCTCCCACTAATGGAAAGAATTTCCCCAATATTTTATTTGTCATTGTAATTTGCTACAATGACTATCCTTCAGCAATTGCGTACAACTGTGTAAATGGTTACAGAATGAATTGCTACAATGGTACTTTGAGTCAATGAATAAGCTTATTGAAAAAACTGGAAGACAGGACTAAATATTCCCATCTAATGTACTCCAAGCCTGCATCAATTTATACTCCCATCAATCTTACTGCCCATTTGGAATCATGCATACCTCTGGTAGCGTAGTGGTTACGAATCGGGCTGCGAGCCTTAAGGTCAGCGGTTCGAAACTACCAGCCGCTCCGCGGGAGAAAGATGAGGCTTTCTACTCCCGTAAAGATTTACACCCTCGGAAACCCTGTACAGGGTCGCTATGGGTCGGAACCGACTCGATGGCACTTAACAACAACAACAACATACATTTTTGTTTAATGTATGTACTATTTTCTTCCATAAAGGATACCAGGAATACAACAATCAGATGTCATTTTCCCAGTTAACAAAACAAGACCTACCTTTGCCTGTAATTCAGCATTTGAATTTTCTAAACCCCTTTGCATATTTGTTACTTGATCTGTCTTCTCTGACAGTTTCTTTGTTAGTGTATTGATAGTTTCTTTGTGCTCATTGAGGTAAATGTAAGCAGTGTTCAGTTCCTCTTTTGTTTCCAGTCCCTTTATGATTGGAGGTAAATTAATAAAAGTTAATAATGAATCATTATCACCATTATCACCTTTATACTATTTTTGTTTATCCAAAAACATAAGAGGTATACTTACTTTGGCTACAATTTCACTAATGCTTTCTTTAAGTTGGTCTCTCTCCATTTGAAGGGCCTCCTGCACCCTTTTCAGATCATCTCGTTCCATAATTATAATTTTTATTTCTTCTTCACTTCCCTGGAGTTTATCAGCCACCTTGAGCCTTTCAATCTCTACACTTTGTAGTGTTGAGTCTTTGGCTTTGGGATGCTTCATGGTTTGATCTAGTTCACTCACTTTTTCCTGAGTTACACTAATTTCTTTTGTAGTTAGAAGTTGTTCCTGTTTCTCATAAAGCTCTTGGATCTTAAAATAATGAAAAAATAAAAATATTCAGAAAAACACACATACACAAATATATTTTAAAGGAAAACAGACCAGGATGTATTCTACTTAGTCATTTCCACAGGTTTCCTCCCACTGTTCTATTATCCTCAATTTACCTTTTTCTGTGATTCACCGTTGGCTGTTTCTAATTCCTTATAAATGCTTGCCATTTCAGTTTCCCGTTCTGAAACATTCACTCTCAATTTATCAATAGTTTCCCTCTGTTCTTTCAGGTAAAAATGAGCAACTTTAAGTTCCTCTTCAGTTTCCAAGTGCTTTTTAGTTAGAAAAATTAAGTAAATTTTTAGTAGGAATATTGTAACCATTACATACACATCAACTTCTTTTTCTATATGTTTAATTCTTATGAAAATATGTGCTTACAAATTTATTTTAAAAAAAATACATACTTTGGCGGTAAGTTCTCCTATGGTTTTTTTGAGTTGGTCACTTTCAGATTGAAGAATTTTTTGCATCCTCTTTAGGTCATCTCTCTCTTTAGCAACAGATTTCATTTCATTTTGACTTTCTTGAAGCATTTCAGATAGCTTGAGTTTTTCCATTTCTATTTTGGTGTTGAACTGTTCCTTCAATTGCTCCATCTCACTTATCATTTTCATAGTTTCATTGTCTTTTTCACTCATATTGAAGGACTTTTCTTGTTTGTCTTGAGCCTCCTGGATCGTAAAGAAATGATAAAACAATATGGCTGGCAACCTGGTGATACTTTTATGTGGAAAGAATTAAGGATGCCTCTACAACAATTAATATAGGATTCATGGATCATTTACACAGTAGCCATTTGACCTTCCCACTCTTGCGTTATTCAGGCATTAAATATTTACTAATTGAGGGGGTCACTGTATTAGCAAAAAATGGTACATGAGATATACCTGGTCTCTGTTTTTGAGACATACAGTTTAATGATAAAAATTTAACAGATGTGTTAGGGTCTACCAGGATATTAATGGCAAAGCCAACCTATTAAGAATAGTTAGGAAGGGCTTCCTTGGGGAGAAGAAACTTCAGTTAAGACTTAAAGAAGACAGAGATGCAAGCAAAGGGAGTATGGAAATATTCTAAGTAGAAAAGCCAGAACATTTAAAATCCATGAGATGAAGAAGAGTAAGAAAAATGTTGCTGGAGTCTGATAAGTGGAAGAATATGGTGAAACCAATAAAGGTTAAGGAATTAAAGGCATCATAGGCCATGTGGAAGATTCTGGTCTTTATTTCAAATGTGAAAAACAAGAACACTGGCATAATCAGCTATGCATTGTAAAAAGATCACTCTGATTCAGGTAGGGAATGGATTATAAATGTACTGGTGTGCAGAGACCAGTTGGGAGATTGGTGCAGAAAATCAGGGAAGAAATGATGGTGGTGGCAATTTGGACAAAATAACTGGATCCATTTACACAGACAAACACATGCACACTGTTGTTGTTGTTGTTAGGTGCCCTGGAGTTAGCTCAGAAGCATACTGATACTGTGTACAACAGAACAAAGCACCGTCCAGTTCTGCATCATCATCACAATTGCTGCTATGCTTGAGCCCATTGTTGGTGTCACTGTGCCAATCCATCTAGTTGAGGGTTTCCATCTTTTTTGCACTCCCTCCACTTTACGAAGTATAATGTCCTCCTCCTGATAGCATGCCCAAAGCATAAGAGATGAATTCTGGCCATCTTGGCTTCTAAGGAGCATTCTGGTTTACTTATTCCAAGGCAGATTTGTTGATTCTTCTGTCAGTTCATTTGTTGTTGATGTTGTTGTTAGGCACCATTGAGTCGGTTCTGACTCATAGTGACTCTATGCACAACAGAGCCAAACACTGCCCGGTCCTGGGCCAACCTCACAATCGTTGCTATGCTTGATTCCACTGATGCTGCCACTTTGCCTATCCATCTCGTTGAGGGTCTTCCTCTTTTTCTCCGACCGTCTACCTTATCAAACATGATATCCTTCTCCAGTTACTGATCCCTCCTGACAATATTGTCCAAAGTATGAGAGACGAAGTCTGGCCATCCTGGCTTCCAAGGAGCACTCTGGCTGTACTTCATCCAACACAGTTGTTCTTTTGGCAGTGTATAGTACTTTCAATATTCTCCTCCAAAACCATAACTCAAAGCATCAATTATTCCAGTCTTCTTTATTGATTACCAACTTTCATATTCTTATGAGGTTATTGAAAATACTATGGCTTGGGTCAGTCCCCAAACTGGTATCTCTACTTTAGAACACTATAAAAAAGATCTTATACAGAAACTTTGCCTAATGTAATATATCATTTGATTTCCTATTGATTCCATGAGAGTTGACAGTGGATCCAAGCGAAATGAAGTCTTTGACAACTTCAATCTTTTCTTCATTTGTCATGATAAAATTTATTGGTCCAGTTGTGAGAATTTGTGTTTTGTTTACAATGAGATGCAACCCATACCAAAGGCTGTGGTCTTTGATCTTCATCAGTAACTATTTTAAGTCCTCTTCACTTTCAGCAAGCAAGGTTGAACCACCTGCATATCACAGGTTGTTAATAAGACTTCCTCCAAGCCTGATACCACATTCTTCTTCATATAACCTATGTTATCTGATTATTTGCTCAGCATACAGACTGAAAACTCAGGGTAAAGAATACAACACTGGCATACACCTTTCCTGATTTTAAACCATTGTCCCTTGTTCTGTTTGAACAACTGTCCCTTGGTCTATGTACACGTTTATCATAAGCACAATTAAGTGCTCTGGAATACCCATTCTTTGCAACATTATTCATAGCTTGTTGTGACCCACATAGTCAATAAAGCATGGATGAATATCTTTCTAGTAATTTCTGTTTTCATCCAAGATCCACCGACATCAGAAATGATATCCCTCATTCCACGTCCTCTTCTGAATCTGGCTTGAACCTTTGGCAGTTCCCTGTCAATGTACTATTGCAGTCATTTATGAATTATCTTTAGCAAAATTTTACTTGCATGTGATATTAATGACATTGTCCAAAAATTTCAACACTCCATTGTGCCACTTTCCTTTTTAATAGGCAGAAATATGGATTTCTTCCAATTAGTTGACAAGGTAACTGTCTTACAAATTTCTTTGTATAGATGAGTGAGTGCCTCCAGTGCTGCATCAGAGCCTTGTTCTTCAGTGCACCTTGGACTTCTTTCTTCAGCATCACTGGCACTTGATCATATTCTACCTCTTGAAATGGTTGAACAGTGACCATTTCTTTTTGGCACAATGACTCTGTATTCATTCCATCTTTCAACATTTTTTCCATGGGAGTCTTCAATAATGCAAGTCAAGGCTTTAATTTTTCTTTGTTTTTTTTCAGCTTGAGAAATGTGGGGTGTTAACCTTTTGGTTTTCTAACTCCAAGTTTTTGCACATTTCAGTGTAATACTTCACTTTGTCTTCTTGAGCTGCCCTCCTCATTTCTTCCATTTGCTTCCACATCTTTACACTGGAGAGTTAATTTCAGTCTCTTCTGAATTCATTCTGGTCCTTTTGTTCTTTCTTGTCTTCTTAATAACCTTTTGCTTTCCTTCTTGGATATTGTCCTTGATGTCATCCCATAACTCTTCTTGTCTTCAGTCATCAGTGTTGAATACATCAATCTGTTCTTGAGATGATCTATAAATTCAGGTTGGATATACTCAAGGTCACGTTTTGACTCTTGTGGATTTATTTTATTCTTTTTCAGCTTCAGCCAGTAGCAGCCCATTTCAACTCACTATGGCCTAGGATAATAATCTTTATGTGTTTCATTTCCTTTTTGATATTTTCCAATATTTATAGGCACGCATCCCATGTTTCAATCATTAATGGATATTTTCAGCTGTTTCTCTTTATTTTGAGTTGTTCCCCATCAACAAATGAAGGTCCCCAAAACTTTACTCCAGTTACATAATGACAGTCAATTCTACTTTGAGGAGGAAGCTCTTTCCCAGTCTTATTTTGAGTGACTTCCAACTTGAGTGGCTCATCTTCTGGCACTATCTCTGACAACATTCTTGTTATGTTTACTGGTTGTAGTCACAATGTTCAATTTCAATATTCTGGTGTTCCACTGCTATTCTTATGGTTTTCAGTGGTTATACATTCAGAAGTAGTCCACCTCTCCTTCTTCCTAGTCTGTCTTAGTCTGGAAGTTCAGCTGAAACTTGTACACTATGGGTGACCCTGCTGGTATTTAAAATACCGGTGGCATAGCTTCCCGCATCATAGCAACACAGAAGCCACCAAAAGTATGACAATTTGACAGACAAGTGATGAGAACTTTATGATTAACAGACATAAAAACAAACATGATAGTAACATTATAATCATAGTACAAATGATTCTTTTCCCAGAGACCTAATTATCAAAAAAGAAAAAACAAAACAAAAAACTTAATCAGGTGAAAAGGAAGAAACTTACTTTAGCTAAAGTTACTTTTATGTATTCTTTCAGCTGGTCATGTTCAACTTGAAGTGCTTCTTTTATAGTTTTAAGATCATCTCTTTCCTTAGTTATAGATTTTATTTCTTCCCAACTGTCTTGAAGTTTTGCAATCAATGAAGTTTCCCTTTCTATACTTGTAGGTGTTGAATCCTTAGCTTTGAATTGTCCTTCCCATTGATCCAGTTCATCTGTTTCCTGAATCTCATGGACTTCTTTCACATTGCGAATTGACTCCTGTTCCACATGAAGTCCGAGACTCTTGGGAAATTCATACAATACCAAAGTTAGCATCTGGAGATTATAATCATGATTATTTTACAGGGAAAAGATCAGAATTCATTCCACAGCTATGAAACTAACTATCAACCCTCATATCAATAATTTGTATTTATTCTTTTGCCTTTGATTTCCTCTAAAACTGTTCAATGTTTTTCTACCAATTACATTCCATCAAAACTTTTCTTTCAGCTGACATCTAAAAGTCAAACATGCTCACTGGGCACCCTAAAACCCCAATCCTTACTGTTTAGCAACAAACTATTAATTCAGTCAGTTATATACACATCTATCCAGTTCTCTATGAGCTCCCAACTGTTACTAGGGAAAAGTCAGTTGGGAAGCTTGTACTCCAATATATGTATGGCTCCCATTTTCAGATGGGCCCAATGACGATTCCTAAGTTTTCTTCCTATGTAGATTGAGTCATCTTTGTCATGACCATCAATGGTATCATGTAATTTTGTATATCGCATTCTACATTTATCATACTGATAAACTTAGGGAGTTTTTTACATGCCGACATTGGAGGGAATGGCTAATATTTTATTCATATTCATAGTCTCAAAGTCTGGCATATAGTAGGCTTTTAACATAGACCCCTCTAGTTATCATTTTCCATGGAGTTAACATATCATGGAGAAATGTTTCATTTTCTCATCAGCAATCATCCACTACCTGATATTACCTGTTCACTAATTTGCTCATTTATCAATTGTCTACCTCCATTTACAATGTAAGCTTTATGAGCAGATTTATTTGTTTATTCACTCATTTCCATTCTCTAGGACTGTGCCTAAGGAGCTCTGATAGCGTAGTGGTTATGAATTGGGCTGCTAACCTCAAGATTGGCAGTTTGAAACTACCAGTGGCTCTGCGGGAGAAAGATGAGGCATTCTGCTCCCCTAAAGATTTACAGCCTCAAAAACTCTGTGCAGGGTTAGTATGAGTCGGAACTGACTCCATGGTACTTAACAACAACAACAGGACTGTGCCTGGAATAGCAAATACATGTTCAATAAATGAATGAATCATAACTACTTGGTCTTTCCAACATAAGGATGCAGGAGGGAAAGAAGAAAAAAAAAAAATATATATATATATATATATACCTTTCCTTGTAATTCATCATTGGATCTTTCTTCTACATTCTTCTGACTATCTTCTATTTGAGCTGTCTTTTCAGAAACATTTCTTCTTAGTTTGTCAATAGTTTCTTGATATTCTTTCAGATTTATGTGAACAAGTTTTAATTCTTCTTTTGTTTCCATGTCCTTTATTAGCAAGTAAAATTAAAAGTTTATGACATCATTCCAACACTGCTTCCCCCTCTCAAAGTGACTCAGTTTAATTTAATTTGGTTTTTGTTGGTAGGAATACACACAGCAAAACCTACATCAATTCATTAGCTTCTTCATGTAACTAAAATGATATTGACTACATTTTCATGTTGTGCAACTATTTTCACCCTCCTTTTCTGAGTTGTTCCTTCTGCATTTAACTTTTTGTCCCGTAGGGTTTCAAACGACCCCTTCAAATTACTGTCAATTTGATCCCATATAGAGATACTTAAAAGAACACAAATCTTTACTAGGTAAACTATTGTTTTGTTTAAGATGACTTCAGGGGATGTTTTTAGTTTAAGGTTTAAAGATTTTTTCAGGGTAATAGCTTTAGGGGTTCATCCAGCTCCATGTCCCAGAAAGTCTGGAATCCATAGGGATTTAAAATCTGGTCTGCATTTTCCCTTTTGATCCGGATACATCTATGGAATCCTTGATTAAAATGCTTAGTAAGATCGCCAGGAACCATCTAGTTCTTCTGGTCTAACAGCAAAAGAGGCAGTTGTTCAAGGAGGCAATTCAACACTCATTTTATATGCTGACTCTACTCTTGACTCTACTTCTCCCTTCATTGCTGGCAGGTGAATAGAGACCAGTTGTTGTGCCTAGGATGGTTGTTTGCAAGTTCTAGGCAGCACACAATAAATTAGGAAGTAGAAAGAAGCACCTTTCTTGCTTACATTATTAGGTCAATTAACTGGGATGTCCCATGACACCACCAGTCTACACTTCAAAGCAAGTAAACAAATCTCATAAGGTGTTTAGTTGTACATAAGCATTCTCAGCAGCTACATTGATAGTAATTACATTAATGGCTGCCAAATATCTCCATTAAAAAAAAAAAATGTAACAGTGAAGGAAAAGGAACTTACCGTAGTTTCAATTTCTCTTATGTATCCTTTAAGTAGATCCCCCTCTCTTTCAAACAACTCCTGTAATTTTCTTAGATCGTTTCTTTCTTTGGTTATAGATTTCATTTCTTCATTATTTTCCTGAAGTTTCTGAGTCAATTCAAGTTTTTCCCTTTCTGTATGTTCCAATGTTAATCCTGTGTTCTTCAGTTCAGTCTTTAAATTCTCCATTTCATTTATTTTTGTTTGCATCTCGCTCATCTCTTCTCTTAGACTAAGAAGTTGTTGTTGCTTTTCTTCAAGTTGTTGACTCTTAAAGATATATAGTTTTTAATGATTATCATTTGCCTGTATTTACTCAGAATTCTTACATAAAGCTGAAATAATCACTGTAACAACCTTGCTTACTTCTCCAATGTAAACAAACAAGTAATAACATTTAAAGTAAATGAATGTTCCAAACATTGTGCCACTAGAAACCTATTGCCATCAAGTTGGTTCATAGTGTTACTGTTGTTGTTAAGTGCCATTGAGTTGGTTCTGACCCATAGCAACTCTGTAGGGGGTTTCAGAGGAGCAGCTAGTGAGTTTGAACTTGTGGTTCAATCTTTCAGACCAGTGCTTATCCTATAACACCACACTAAAACTCTATAGGTAATATGCAGTTTTTAAGGAGGTAAAATGAAAATGAGAAAAAGTAAAAGAGAAAATAAACTAAACATGTAAATATAGCTGTCAAATAGCTGCAATTCCCCATTAAAAACATTTTGAATAATTTATTTTCACATATAACAATATTCTTAAGGGTTGCTTCAAACAGACCCAGATGGAATGCACTTCTTCAGTCAAGTACGAATTAGACAAGGTTTTTGTAAACTCAATTAGGCAATAGTGAAGTAAATGAGAATTAAAAGAAGAAGACTATTATGAAAAAAGTACTCGATAGAAGAAAAATGGAAACCACATATATTATCTTTAATGGATGGGGGGTATCCCCCAACCCCCAGACTACATAAAGATTTTAACAGCTGAATTTTAAAATTACTTGGGCAGAACAATTATTATACAAGTCTCAGTTCTTCTACAAACATTATATAATAGCATCTAGGAAAGAAATGATTCAGGAAATTATAAACATCAAAGAGATGCAAAGAATCTGGAAATATGAGGAAAAGGCTTAAGCCATGAACAGCAGTTATACAGACCAACTCCTAACTCCACAGGATAGGGAAAGTTACCCATACTTGCTTAATCTATTTGTTCAACCAGGCAGCAAAAGGAAAAGTTAACATACTACTTACTAGTGAAATATAATAGAGAACTCACCTCAAAAATTCTAGTTACTGTAACTACAGTAGCACAGGATGAGAATAGGTATACATGTGGATGCCCTCGAATCATCAAGGAAAAGCTCCTTACTTATACCATGCCCCAATGAAGCATGTTAACATAAATCTTAGAAACATTCCTATCAAAAATAGTTTAAACTAGAAAGCTAATCTTCTTCAAGTCCACCAATGATTTATATGGAACCCAATTATCTAATGATACCAGATGAGACATTGTTATATTAAATAGCTTCTAAATAGTGGTGGAAGGGGCTCTGGTAGCGTAGTGGTTATGAATCGGGCTGTGAACATAAAGGTCAGCAGTTCAAAACTACCAGCTGCTCCGTGGAAGAAAAGATGAGGCTTTCTGCTCCCGTAGACTTACAGCCTCGGAAACCCTGTTCAGGGTCGCTATGGGTTGGAACCGACTTGATGGCACTTAACAACAAATAGTGATGGTGGTGGTTGTGTGGCAGAGTTGGTTCCAACTAATAGCGACCCTGTAAAGGGTTTCAAAGGCTGTAAATCTTTGTGGAAACAGAAAGCCTCGTCTTTCTCCATGGAGCAACTGGTAGATTCTAACTGCTGACCTTGTTAGCAGCCCAATTCACAACCCATTATGCTACTAGGGCTCCTTCTCTAAATAGTAGTGGTGGTTATGTGCCATGGAGTCGGTTCCGACTCATTGTGACCCTGTACAGGGTTTCTGAGGCTGTAAATCTGTATGAGAGAAGAAAGCCTCATCTTTCTCCCGTGGAACAGCTGGTAGTTTCAAACTGCTGACCTTGCGGTTTGCAGCCCGATTCGTAACCACTATGCTACCAGAGCTCCTTATCTCTAAATAGTAGTTCACTCCAAATATATTAATGTATCAGAGAAAAAGGAAGCATTAGTGACACAGCTTATATTTTAGAAAATAACTTAGGTATCTTTCTAGGGCAGGATATTTGTTTTGCATCTCAAACACAAAGAGATGCCTTGTTCATGGTAATTCCTAGTAAGTATTCAAGCCACGAATATATCAAAGGACTAATGATTGAGATTAGTTTAGATGATACAAGGCTTCCTCTCACCTAAAGACTTTAGAATAATCTTACTCTCACAAGGTATGTTAGTTAAAATCTCATAAGAGTTGAAAGTGTCCAAAATATTAGCATTTGGTTCTATTCATTTGGAAGGCACATGTAATATTTGGGGTTAAGGTCCATGGTGAATCAAATTTCTTACCAAAATAGTTTAGTAAGAAAAAGAGCCAGGAGGAGAATTATTAAAAACTACCTTTTCCTTTAGATTTTCTTCAGCTTCTGCCAGTCTCTCACAGGTCCTTGAAAGCTCTTCTTCTTTTTTAACTGTCTGGTGTTTTTCTTGTGCCACTATCTCCTGTTGCTTTTTAAGTTCATTTCCAAGAATTCTTAATTCTTCCTGGTTTTCAATGGTCTAGAAACAAAACAAAACAAATTAAAATAAGTAGCAGTAACTTACATTTACAAAGTAAGAGAAGAATCAGCATTTACCTCAGACTGCAAAGAAATCAGAACTACATAAGAAAAGACTAAAAGTGAGCAGTTAAATTAATCAGACAGATGCCAAATTCTGCTTTTTATTCTGTTTCTTTATTGCTCAATTTATGTTCCTATCATGAGAGTTGAATTTAGCAATTATTATGGAAGTTTAGCTCATTACTGTCCTTATGACACAAAGGACTTTCTAATCTTTCACTGGGGAGTGATGAGACTACAGGTGTTTCATATACTGGCACAGCTTTGGTATTGGACATACCAGCAAACAGAAGATGGTAGCCCATTCTTTTTGGTATGACTCAAATTAATTCTGGCAATTATGTTTACAGTGACACTGTAAATGCTCAAGACCATAAGAAAATACAAAAATAATAAGCCAGAGAGTAAAAGAAGTATATGACTTTTGTTTGTAAGTATTTATATACTGACATTTTAACACATATGGTCAAGTTCTAATGCGGTCCATAGTGAACTCAAAAACATTATTTTCAAAAAATCTATGCATATTATATTGCCCTTATACATAGAAACAAAAACTGTAAGAGATTTGAAAATATTGGTAAACATTAAAATTAAGAACACTTTAAAAAATTACAACATTTAGAGACAAATTTAATAAAACATGTACAAGTCATATAATATATATATATATAAAACGATGAAATTTTCATAATTTATAGAAATTACAAATGAAAGGGTTTTAAAAAGTTTGTGATCAATAACCACATAAAAAAGATTAACACCATTAGTTATCAAGGGAATGCAGGTTAAACATTTGAGTGAAGAACCATGAAAATTCTTAACTTGTTGGTGTGAATATAAAATGGCACAACAATTTTGGAAATCAGTCTATCAAATTCTTACTAAGTTAAAAATACACTTCCCTATTCATTTTTGCTGTTTACCCAAGAGACATATAGAAACAAACAAAAAAACCTATATATATATATATAAGATTTATACAGAAGTGTAACAGTTGTTTGTGTCATCAAGTGTGTTCCAAATCACAGTGACCCTAGATAGGGTTTCTGAGGCTGTAAATCTCCCTAGGAGCTGGTGGATTCTAACTGCCAATCCTGCAGTTAATGCCTAACCCAGTATACCACTAGGGCTCCCATGGTTATAGTACCTTTATTCAAAGTTGCCAAATATTGGAAATAACTCAAAATTTCCATCTAAAGAAGAAGGGATAATCAAATTACAGCATATTCATGCAATAGAATACTGCCTAGCTATGACAAGGAATGTAGAAAAAAGTCAGAAACAGAGTCAATACTCTGTGGCTCTACTTGTATGAAGTTCTAGAAGAGACAGGTCATTTGAGACAAAAAAAAACCCCATCAAGACAGTGATAGTCTAGGGCAGAGGTCGAGATGGGGATTGAATGGGGAAGGAAATGAAGGGGATGTTTGTGTTGGAAATGTTCCATATGCAAAGAAGTGGGAAAGATACAAGCAGAGATATTTGTTAAAACTCATCATACTATATCTAACTACACATCACTTACCATTTATTGCATGTAAATTATACCCTGATAAAAAGGCTGAAAAAGAACTCTGGTAGCATAGCGGATTATGAGCTGAGCTGCTAACCAAAAGATTAGCAGTTCAAATCTACCAGATGCTCCACAGGATAAAGATGAGGCTTTCTGCTCCCATAAAGATTTATAGCCTTGAAAACCCTATACAGGGCCACTATGAGTCAGAACCAACTCCATGGCAAATAACCAACCACCACCAAAAAGTTTGAAATTGATTTGACTGTAGTAGATTTGGTTTGTTTTTTTTTGGTTTACAGTTGGTAACAATGGTAAAACATACAAGGACAAAAACATATTTCCAAATATACAATGCTAAATCCTACCATTTCAATATTTTCCTTTAGGTCAGTCTTCAATTGTTCCTTTTCTAATGTAATAATCTCTAACATTTGTTGGAGTTCATTTTTCTCTTGCATTAGAGAAAACATCTTCTGTTGCTCAATTAGTTCATTATCCCCAACATCTGCAATTAATATTTGGGAATCTTTTGTTTTAGAATTCTGTTTTGTATCCGTGTCGGAATTCTACAATGGAAATATATTAAATAAGAATGAAAATAATTTGGTAATAATAATCTCCATAATAATAAAAATAGTCAACACTTACATTGCTTATTATGCACATAAAGGCATTAATCTCATAAATTTTATCTTATTACGACCTTATGACAAGGTCACACACCCTGGTGTGGATAAACACTGGACTGCTAACCACAAGGTCGGGTTGGCAGTTTAAGCCCATCAGCTGTTCTCTGTAACCCTATACAGGGTCATTGTGAGCCAGAACCGAATCGACAGCATACAGCAACAACATGACCTTATGAGACTTTATTACTGCCATTTGACAGATGAGCAAATTGAACACAAAGAGGATAAGTCACTTTGTCACAGTCTCTCAGAAAAAACTACAGCCCGATTTTAAACTCAAAACTGTCTGGCTCCATCAATCATGCCTGTTTGCTGATAAGAGCTACCTGGACAGCTACTGTTGTTGTTAAGTACCGTCTAGTTGGTTCCAACTAGCGTGGCGCTGTGAGTTAATGCGCTGGAGTACACAGTCAGTTTGAACCACAAGGTCGGCAGTGCAAGATCACCACCAGCTCCTTGGAAACCCTATACAGGTCACTATGGGTTGGAACCGGCTTGATGGCACTTAACAACAACAACACAGTAACCCTTTTTAGGGTTTTCAAAGAAGAGCTGGTAAGTACGAACTGTTTACCTTGTGGTTCAAACTGACCTTGCAGTCCAGTGCATTATCCGCAGTCCCACACTAGGATTCTTCCTGGACAACTATTGTTGTTATTATGTGCTGTGGAGTTGGTTCTGACTCACAGCAAACCTGTACAGGGTTTTCGAGGCTGCGGTTTGCAGCCCGAATCGTATCCACTACGCTACCAGAGCTCCTTATTATGGACAATTATAGATAATTAATAATTGTCTTAATGCATGCTAGGTTAATCTGACTTCATCTACTCTTAGTACATGCATAATAAAGGAGCTCTGGTAGTGTAGCGGTTATGAATCGGGCGGAGAACCTTAAGGTCAGCAATTCGAAACTACCAGTTGTTCCGTGGGAGGAAGATTGGGCTTTTTGCTCCCGTAAAAATTTATAGCCTTGAAAACCCTGTACAGGGTCGCCATGAGTCGGAACCGAGTCCATGGCACTTAACATCATCATCATCAACATGCATAACTACATAACAAGTAAAAAGATATTTGACTTTTTCTTCTATAGAACTTCAATAAATATTTTCTAAGCTTCATGTTAGTAGCACTTTACTTCCTACTTCTAGAAAAGGAGGAAGCAACCTTGAACTCTACTACCTTGTCTTAAAAAGCAACTATTCCCCAATCTGTACCACCAGCAAATCTTTAACATAATTTATCTTTTTTAATATACATTTTTATATACTGCTTTTAAAAAAGCATAGTGTTATAAATTCACTCTTCCGTAAATGTCTTACCAAGAGGTAAAATAACACAGGAAATTATTTTTAATGAGAGACAAAGCTGATACTATAATTATAGGAATGAAACTAGAGTATCGCAATAGTAAACCAATTCAGCTCTACATTGGACATATACGAGGGGGCTTCAAAAAGCTCACAGAAAAATGGAATGAAAAGATAATGAAATTTTTACAGGATCTTTGTGAGGCCCCCTCATGTTGAAAAATTTTTTAATAATCTATGAACACATTAAGGAGGCCTAATGGCACTGTAGGATAAGCATTGGACTGCTAATCTTAAGGTCAGCGGTTCATACCCACCAGTCACTCCTTAGGAACTCTTTGTAGGATTGCTATGAGTTGGAACGGATTTGGCGGCACACAACAACAGTGGTTAAAAGTTAAGTGATTGATTGCGAATAGAAAGGTTTGAACCCACACAGTTGCTCCATGGAAAAAAGTACTGTTTCCATGAAGGTTACAGCCATGAAAACCCTATGAGACAGTTCTACTCCATCACTTGGAGTCACTATTAGAGCTAATGTTGTTGTTAAGTGACGTCGAGTCGGTTCCAACCCATAGCGACCCTGTACAGGATTTCCAAGGCTGTAAATCTTTACGGGAGCAGAAAGCCTCATCTTTCTCCCGCGGAGCAGCTGGTAGTTTCAAACTGCTGACCTTGCAGTTAGTTCACAGCCTGATTCGTAACCACTATGCTACCAGAGCTAACCATAAACAATAGAGCTAATTATTAAAGAAAAAAAAAATTTTCCTTTATATGAGAATAATCTTACTAATTACAAAGTTTAAAAAATTTTAAATACCTATTTTAAAGGTATTTTAGAAAAGCTGCTGTTGTTAAGTGGCCTAGAGTCAATTCTGACCCATAGCGACCCTGTATAGGGTTTCCAAGGAGTGGCTGGTGTTTGAACTGCCGACCTTGGGGTTCAAACCGACTTTGCAGTCCACTGCATTAAATCACAGTGACATACCAGGACTCCTTTAGAAAAGAAGAAGGTATAATACATGAATCTATGGTAAAAATTATATGCAATTCCTCCTAACACTAGCATCCTAGCCTCTCTATAAATAATAAATAACCAGATAAGCAGTTATTTTCCTAAGGCCTCAAAGAAATGAAAAATATTACCTAGAATAAATTACTAAAACAATGTTTAATTACTTAATAATAAAATCAAGTTCTAAAAATAGGTATAAATATGATATACACATTAACTTTATAGTGAGTGAGCCCTAAACAAGTATACTATATAAAAACCACTATAAAACAAGTAATTTAAAAAAATTTTTCAATAATTAACAATAAACATTCAATCTTTCTTCCTGTCTTAAGATTTAGCAGAGCTATTAAAGATTTTTAAAATATATCAGTCCTCTGAAAAATAACAGTTTCTCAAAATCTGAACTACTACTGTTTTGTTTTCCCCTTTAAAAGTGATTGTTGTTGTTGTTTGCTCCCCTTAAAACTAATTACAAGTTGTTATATTCAATTATTTCAAAGACATTAGAGTTGAGCTTGTAAAATTACCACTAGTTATTAATGTTATGAAGATCGAGATTATCATTATGTACAAAAGTGTTTGAGGTTGAAAAAAGATAATAAGCATATGAAAAATTCCAAAAGAAACACCCTTTACCTGAATCTCAACCATACTTTCTCCTATATTTCCTTCTACAGGTAAATTCTTACAAGTTACTTCAGAAATTTTCATTTTCAGTGTGTTGATTGTTTCTTGGTGTTGTTTTAAAGATTCAAGAGCATTTCGTAATTGTTCTTGTGTGTCTATGTTCTTTATAAAAGAAATTTTAAAAGTTCATTAGAATGTGGAAAGGAAAACAATTTTATAGTAACTACTGGATCATAAATAATTAATGATGGCTCCTGCAACTTTTTAAAGAGGCTCCAAGTTTTCACAGTTTACTCAATTCAGATTTTCTTACCAGGTGAATAGTATCCTGGATATCACTTTTGAGTTGGTCTCTCTCAATTTGCAGGTTCTCTTGGACTTGTTTTAGGTCATCTTTTTCTTGGGTTAAGGTTCTTACTTCTTCTAAGGTTTGTTGAAGTTTCTCAGTGATCAATGTTTTCTCCTTTTCTACAGTTTGTAGCCTAGAATTCCTGTTTTCTAATTCTTCCTTCAGCACTTCCATTTCATTTATTCTTTCTTGACCCTCAGTTGTCTTCTGCTGAAGTTCTTGGGTTTTGTGAGACAGCTTTAAAATAAGAAAAAATAGGTTATAGTAAAAGCAGAGCATCTTGTGAGATATATATATATATATATATATATATGAAGGTCAAGCCCGAGAAGCTAAAGATCATCTCTCTAAAAAGTATTTTGTACCAACCTCTATCTTTACATCATTCAAACTTAAATCAAGTTTTTGAGCTTCTTTAGACAGAGTTCCTATTTCCTGATTCAGTTTTGTATTCTCCTCAAGGGCCAGATGATACTTTTCCTCAAAGTCCATATGATGATTTTTAAAATCTTGGAATTCTTGATCAATGCTTTTATAATTCAACTGGGTAGTTGCTAGGTCATCTTTAGTTTTACCAATTTCTTCAAGTAAACCTTGAATTATACATTCCTTATCAGCTACTTCAGAAAAAAGTTTGTCTTTTTCTGATGTCAATATATTGAACTCTTCAGACTTATCATGTATCTATGGAAAAGAAATATAGTTTAGTAATATTCATTAGTAATCTATGATACATGGAAGCACAATGTAGAAACAAGCCTTATCTGTTAAAAAAAAAAAAAAAAAAAGAGAAAAAAGCATTATGCTGTTTAACTTTAACTTAATTCTATTTTCTAATCTTTTTGGGTTATATAAAGACTGAATGGAGATTTTCAGAAGAAACAATTTATAAGGATGTCTCTTTATTATGTCTTTTAACTATTAATCCTAAAATATTCTCTAAGTTAATGCTAAAGCAAGCATTTTAAGGTTTTTCTCATAACTTGACTTTTGTTAATTTTTTTCCCCCCTAGAGGCTTGGGAAGCATCTTAGATTGCTACAATCGTTATCCCACAAATAAGGTTTTTGTTGTTGTCAAGTGCTATCGAATCGGTTACTATTCATAGTGACCCTGTATAGGATTTCCAAGGAATAGCTGATGGATTTGAACCACTGAACTACTACTGGTCAGCAGCCCTGTGCTTATCCTATAGTGCCACGCTTGTGTTGTTGTCAAGTGCCATTGAGTCGGTTCTGACTCTTAGCAACCCTGTGTAGGGTTTATAAGGAGTGGCTGGTGAATTTGATATGCAGAGCCAAACCGACCTTTGGTCCAGTGCAATATCTCACAGAGCCAGACCAGGACTCCACAAATAAGATAAAACAATTAAATAGTACCTATATAATTAAATGAATATTTGAATACATATCCATTTATAAGGAGTCCTGGTGTGTGGCACTGCACATAAGCAATGAACTGCAAGGCTGGTTTGAAGCACAAGGTTGGTGATTCAAATTCATCAGCTCCTCCTCAGAAATCCTCTACTGGGTTGTTATGAGTCAGAGCTGACTCAACAGCAGTTAACATCACCAACAATACGCTCATACACAGTTTAATCATTGTGAGACATGATGATAAAAGGATGTGGGAAAAGGAGATGAGAGATAAAGGAAACAAAGGAAAGAGAGCAATACAGCAGTTACTAAAAGTACAGGAGCCCTAGTGGCACTGTGGGATAAATATTGGACTGCTAACTGCAAGGTCAGACTCCTTGTGTGATACTGTAGGATCAGTAATGGACTGCAAACCAGAAGGGCAGCAGTTCATTCAAACCCACCAGCTGTTCCTCGGAAACCCTCTCAGTGTTGCTATGAGTCAGAACCAACTTGACAACACTTAACAAAACTTCAAGGTCAGTGGTTCAAACCCACTTGCTGCTCCTGGGGAGAAAGATGAGGTTATGTACTCTTGTAAAGATTGAGTCTCAGAAACCCTGTATATAAAGTTGTTATGAGATAGAATTGATAGATGTCAGTGGGATTTGGATACTTATAAGATATATTCATATGTTATTCATTTCATAATTTTGGGGGGGCTAAATAGCAGCACCTACTTTAAAGAGTTGAAATCCTGGTGTGATGCTGCAGAATAATGTGCTGGACTTCCAGGTTGGTTTGAACTGCAAGGTTGGTGGTTCAAACCCACCAGCCACTTCTTGGAAACCCTAGTCAGGGTCGCTATGAGTTGGACCAAACTCAATGGCAATTAACGACAACTTTAAAGAGTTAATTCTTGTTGATGTTAGGTGCTGTTGAGTTGGTTCCATTTTAGTGACCCTATGAACAACAGAATTAAACATTGCCTGGTCCTGAGCCATCCTCATGATTGTTATGCTTGAGCCCACTGTTGCTGCCACTGTGTCTATCCACCTCTTGGAGATCTTCCTCATTTTTTTTTTTTTTTTTTCATTGACCCTTCACTTTGCCAAGCATGATGTCCTTTTCATGGTCTTTCCTCACATCATTTCTAAAGTACGAGAGACACAAAGCATCACAACCTCACATCTAAGAAACAATCTGGCTATACTTCCAAAACTAATCTGTTTGTCCAGCAGTCCATGTAACTCTTCACTAACACCATTAATTCAAATGCATAGGTTCTTCTGTCTTCCTTATTCATTGTCCAGCTTTTGCATGCATATTGCTGTTGATGTTAAAGTAGCCCCGAGTTGGTTCTGACTCATATAGACTTAGTATAGGGTTTCCAAAGAGTGCCTGGTGGGTTTGAACCACTCACATTGTGGTTAGAAGCCAGTGTTTACCCTACAGCACTATATGAAGCTATTAAAAAATTTCAATCTTTTCTCCATTTATGATATTATTTATTGGTCCAGCTGTGAGGATTTTAATTTTATTTACATTGAATCATAATTAATACTAAAGACTGTAGTTCAAAAAACTTTTTATTATCATAATCAGTAAGTACTTCAAGTCCGGTTTGCTTCTAGTAAGAAAGGTTGTATCATTTGCATATCACAGGTTGTTAATAAATCTTCCTTCAATCCCAACGTCAGACTCTTCATATAATCTTGCCTCTTGGATTATTTCTTCAGCATACAGATTGCGTAAGTATCGTGAAAGGACACAACCCTGATGCACACCTTTCAGTATTCCCTTGTTTGTTTAATGACTGCCACTATGTACAGGTTCCACATGAGCACAATTAATGTTCCAGAATATTAATTCTTCGTAATATTTTCCATAGTTTGTTATGATCCATACAGTTGAATGCCTTTGCATAGTTGATGTAATGTGGTTGTGGTGGTTATGTGCCGTGGAGTCGGTTCCAACTCATAGCAATCCTGTACATGGTTTCTAAGGCTGTAAATCTTTATGGGAGCAGAAAGCCTCATCTTTCTTCCACAAAACAGCTGGTAGTTTCGAACTGCTGACCTTAGAGGTTAGCAACCCAATTTGTAACCACTATGCTACCAGTGCTCCTTCAACGTAATGTAGTGAATGATTTAATAAACTTTAATCTTTTTAACCCCACCAAGCAATTCTTTTTTCTTATGGGTCTAGGTAAGCGAAGGTGGGTACAGATACTGATAGGATTATAAGAATCAGCTGTGGATATTAACAGAGTTTATTGTAACTGTGATAACTTGAAACTCCAGCATGGGTAGACAATGAGCTATCTCAGAAGTGTAAATGGGGACAGAAGGGAGGATATTTCACTACAATAAAAGAAGAGCCACAAGTGGAGTATGTCTTTCGGACCCCAAAATTCTTGTGCAGTGAATTTCCTTGACCCAGAGGCAGAAAGGTGTGACACTAGAGGAGTGACAAAGGAGCAGCAGCAACAGAACCAAGAGCAAGAACACAAGATAGAGTGGTGGTCTTCCCTGCCCATGAAGCTGAGTGACTTTGGGTTGCCGAGGTAGAAACAGACCTGCAAGTGAGGTGCTCAAATGAGGAGAGGTTGTCCAGACTAGAAGAATGGTGCCTTGGAACATTTCTGCTCCTGAATTGAAATTTGTTAACATCCCTAATAAACTCCATAACTGAGTAGGTTGTCTTTGAGTTCTGTGTGGCCACTTGAGTGAATTATTGAACCCAGAGCAGAAGTAGAGAAGAGTATACTTTGGGAGGCATGGTTGGTAGCTTGTATCTTATTGTCAATAATGCACAAGTAAACATCTTTCTGGTATTTTCTGCTTTCAGCCAAGATCCATCTGATATCAGCAGTGATATCCTTTGTTTCACATCCAGGCATAGTAAACCATTTCATTGTCTGATTCAAAGTGGCTATACCAGTCCATTTCAACTCACTAGTGTCTAGGATATTGATCTTTATGCATTTCATTCAGTTTCTGATGACATAAATTATCCTAGATTCATACTTTGTACATTCCACATTCTGATTATTAATGAATATTTGCACTTATTTCTTCTCATTTGGAGTTGTGCCTTATCAGCAAATGAAGGTCCTGAAAGCTTTGTTCCACCCACATCATTAACATCAACTCTAATTTGAGGTGGCAGCTCTTTCCTAGTCAGATTTTGAGTGTCTTTCAACTTGAGGGGCACTATATGTGATTATGCTCCATGTGATTCATAAGGCTTTCACTGGTTAACTGTTCAGAAGTGTTCTGCCTCTCCTTCTTCCTAGTCTGTCTTAGTCTGGGAACTGAAACCTGTTAACCATGGGTGATCCTTCTGGTATTTAAAATACCTATGGCATAACTTCTAGTATTACAGTTAACAAGCTAACAGTATGATTAAACCAGGCCATTAGTTTATAGAATCTTTCACTAATCTACAAGATTTACATTGGTCTCTCAAACCTTATCGTCAGTCCTTTATCACATTCCTCTCTTTTATTCAATATAGTGTGATATGACTAGTACCAAGGCAAAACAAGGTAAAGACTAGGGGTAGACTACAGATCACTGCTTAAATGTAACATTTGATGACTATAGGAATGGCTACTGTTGTTATTGTTGTTAGGTGCCATCGAGTCGGTACTGACTCATAGCGACCCTATTACAACAGAATGAAACATTGCCTGATCCTGGGCCACCCTCACAATTGTTGCCATGCTGAGCCCAATGGTACTGCCACTTTGCCAATCCATCTCACTGGGAGTCTTCCTCTTTTTCTCTGATCCTCCACCTTACCAAACATGATATTCTTCTCCAGCGACTGGTCCCTCCTGACAATATGTCCGAGAGACGAAGTTTGGTCATCCTGGCCTCCAAGGAGCTTCTGCCTGCACTTCTTCCAACACAGATTTGTTAGTTCTATGGGCAGTCCATGGCACTTTCAACATTCTCCTCCAACACCATAACTCAAAAGTATCAGTTCTTCTAAGGTCTTCTTTATTCACTGACCAGCTTTTGCATGCATACGAGGTTACTGAAAATATCATGGCTTGGGTCAGGCACACTTTAGTCCTTAAGCTGACATCTTTGCTCTTCAACATTTTAAAAAGGTCTTGTGCAGCAGATTTGCCTAATGCAATACGTTGTCTGATTTCTTGACTGCTGCTTTCATGAGTGTTAATAGTTGATCCAAGAAGAATGAAGCCCTTGACAACTTCAATCATTTCTCCATTGATAAGAATGTTGTTTATTGGTCCAATGGTGAGGATTTTTGTTTCCTTTACATTGAGATGTAATCGATACCAAAGGCTGTGCTCTTTGATTTCCATCAGTAAATATTTTAAGTCCTCTTCACCTTCTGCAAGCAAAGTTGTATCATTTGCATATCGTATGATGTTAATGAGTCTTCTACCAAGCATACTGCTAAATACACTCAAAGCAGTTTTTATTAATCTAGAAGCAAATTATAGCTAACAATTAGGGTAAGACTCAAATGTTTACAGCATTTCTTGCCCACTGTAAAATAAACCATATTAAAATATAGAGGGTACTACTGCAAAGTCTGTATTTCAAAAGAAGGGTTAATTACTCAAAAATGCATTTACCTCTTTCCTTAGCATTTCTACTTCAGAGTTCAATTCTGAGAGCAAATTAAGTTCTTTACGCAGAGCTATGTTTTCCTCTACTTCTTTATTCAGTTCTTTCTGGAGATCAGTAGTTCTTCTTTCTAATTCTAAGTTACAGAGCAAATCTAGAAAAGTTTTGAAAAGAAATCAGAGCATAAAAATTTTTTACTCACTGATATAGAGAGGTCAAGCCTTTTAGGTCCATTTCTAGAGCAAGTCAGATTTGCAAAGAGATATATTTGAAATGATAAAATACCTTTTGGAACTTTGCCATCTATGAGGGAGGTCAATTTTGTTATTTCATTAAAAGCATATTGTAACTCTTTCTCTAGGTCAACTTGCATTTTCTTTTTTGCCTCCAACTGGCTTCGAAATACCTGACTATCATTTTCCATTTGCTTGCAGGTATTTACAAGTTCTTTCTATTGAGAGAAACATCACAAACTTACAAAAAGTACTCATCATTACAATGGCTTTATTAATTACAAACACTTAAAAAAATTATTTACCATTTTTTCTTTCAGTTCTAGATTTTCACTTCTAAGTAAGGCTGATTCTTTCTTGGCATCAAGGGTTACAGTTTCAGCATCAAATAGAGTCTGTTTCATTTGTTTAAGTTCTTCAATGTTTTCCTAAATTAACATTACACGACAAAAAGGATTCTGTGAAATCTCACTTTCTTAGAGTCAATAAGACTTTAGAGAAATTCCTAACCAATCAAAAAAAGGTCAAGTTAGTCTAACTATCATGAGTATTTTCAAAATGCAAATAAATGAAATGGAATTATGATTTTCATATTTTAAAAAAATCTGTAATTTCTCAAAATTACAAAAGCAACATATGGATGTGCTGTAATTTAAGAAATCAGTTACTGTTTAATAAAAGGTTAACACAATTGTTCAATAATTTTATTGATTTTGAGTTATTCTCTATAACATCTGCCAGGCTAATAATTTAATTATTAATATTAAGGGAAATCGAAAGGTTGATGTTTGAGCCCATGCAGCCACTCCCTTGTGAGAAAAAACTGGAGATGTGATTGCGTAAAGACTGTAGCCTAGAAGCTCATATAGGACAGTTCTACTCTGTCAATGGTACCTAATAACAACATTAAGGAAAATAAAAAGACAAACAACCCAACAGAAAAATAGAGAAAGTGTATTAGCAGGTAAGTTACAAAAGAGAAAATAGCAAAATTTACAAATTCAACTACAATTTTTGGCAAAAGATTAATATATGAATGAATAAATACATGAGGTAAATAAAGTGCATTTCTGCCTGTGATTCTATCAATGGGTACTCAAAAACTCAGGAAAAGTTTCTTTCTCCCCAGATTCTTAGACTAGTGTGATGTGAAACAATATGATTCATTTACAAAAGAATCATTTCTTATATATTGTTGTTGTCAGGTGCCATCGAGTCGGAACCGACTCATAGCGACCCCATTATATATAGAAGGTGATAATAGAAAAGCTCAATGAAAACAAACAGAAACAAAATATTTAAAATACCAAATGTTTAGAAACTATTGCCTTCTTAAAAGAAGGGGATTAACAACTAAAATCAAATTGATACTTGCTTGTAATCATCAGGTGGATTGAAAAAATTGAAGAGATGAACAATTTGATTATGAGATTCAGTGTTATTTAATGTGAAGATCTTATGTTGGCTAAAATAACCTGTAGTTAAAGAGTTTCTAGATTACTCACCAAACTGTTAGAATAGTTGTTTGTTTAAATTATGAGAATATACCATTTAAAAAAAAATACAGAAAAAGATGAAAAAAGATAAAAAATCCTTTGAATTTACTGATTTTTAATGTAACTTCGTCTCTAAATTCCTTATATGCAACCAGAGAAAGATGAAGGCTTCAACTCTGTGAATATTTTCTCATTCTAAAATGGCAATAATATTCAGAGTCCTTTTTTTACAGTTATTTATAAGATTAAATGAAATAATTTATGTAGTTATAACAGTGCCTGCCTAATGACAGCAGTCGTTACAAAGATATGGTAATCTGCACACTTCAACAAGATTACATAACAAAACAATATAATCCTGATTATTACCACTGAATATGACATGTCCATTTTTATATTTTCTGATTTCTGTGAGTCTATATATTTCTGTAGCTCCTTAATCTGGTCTTCCTTGTCTCTAAGTAGCTCTACTTTTGAGCTTAGTTCATTCTAAAAGATTCAAAGGAGAGAAACATAATTTAGGTATCTGATTTGAATTCTAAGGGAATAAAAAAGAACTTACATTTAAACAGGTAGATAGTAAAAATTTAACAAGTTTAGTATTTAAAAATTAGAATTCTTTGTTTTTTCTGAAATCATGTTCTATTATATATGATGCATGTTTTGTAGTTCTATTTACTCTAGTAATAGAAACAGCAACATAAATGCTCACCTCAAGATCTTGGTTATATACTTCTGAATGTTTAACTAAATTCTTTAAGTTGGAAATTTCATGAATTAGTTGCATCTGTAAGAGCATGTGAATAAGCAACAGAGCAGACCAATAATTAATAAAGCAACCACAACAAAATAATAATCAATCATTCATTGCCTCACAGAATCACCCAAGACTGTTAGAAAGGGCTGAGAGATCAGTTGTTTAAGTCATCGCAAAGTATCATTATTTAAATAAAGGGTATCTCATTATTTAAAAATACAAAATAAAATTAAATAAAAAAACAAAAAAGCATGCAAATAATAAAAATCTCACCATGACCCAAAAAATCATTATATTACCTGTTAATACAGCAGTGATAATATCAATAGCACATTAGTTTATACTACTCTAAGGAAATATTAAAATGGTTATAAAACTTCAGAACAAATACAGTTTTAATATAGTTTTGCTTTGTGTTAAGTGCAGAAGTTTTCCATAATACAAATTATCCCTCTGGCCCTACACTGACATACTTTTAAATGAGTTGTGATTTTGAATCTAGGTTTGGCTTCAGGTAGTTTCATATGGTGCTTTAAAATGTTATTATCATCTAACCCAAACTACAGAAGTTCAAAGTTATCAACTATCATCTCATTGTTTTATTTTATAGAAAATATTATAAAGATGATTATTACTTTATACTGTTCAACTGTCTTAAATAGTAAGTACTTACAGATACAAACACTTTTCTTTTAAAGTTTTCTATCAAAAGATATACAGTATTAAATATTTGAGTACTAGGAACTTTTGTGCTCAAAACAAGTAAATCAAAATTTGCCAAAGATAAACATATTTTGTCTTTGAATTATTTAATCTTCTTAGTCAGATGAGTACTTAGAGAGCAACAAAAAATTCTTATAGGATGTTGTTATGTGCTACTGAGTCACTTCCAACTCATAGAGACCCTGTATAGGGTTTCTGAGGAGCAGTTGGTGGGTTTGAACTGCCAACCTTGTGGTTTGCAGTCCAGTGCTAATCCTACAGACCATACTAATAGTCTTAAAGTATATAAGGGTCTAGATAGTATTTTATGAATGCTGAATTCAGTCCTCAACAGTTTTTGATCTCTGATTATTGCTAGTACTGAACTCAAATTATTTGAATAAGCACTGTCCAACAAGTATATAGAGTACTGGTATGGTGCTGAGGGTAAATGTGCTGGACTGCGAAGTCAGTTTGAATTGCAAGGTCGGCAGTTCATGCTCACCAGCCACTACTTGGAAACCCTATACACGGTCACTAAGTGTTGGCACTCACTCAACAGCACTTTACAACAATAACAACAATAAGTATATAATGTGAGCTTCATACTGTAATATAAGATTTTCTACTAGCCACATTTTAAAAAAGAAAAAGGTAAAATTAATTGTAATATCTTACTTAATCTAATATTTCAAAAATATCATTTCTCCATATAGTCAATAAAAAAATATTTTATTGGAATAATCTACATTCTTTCTAGAATACGTTAGTTCAGACTAGTCCCATTTCACGTACTCAATTGCCACATGTGGCACAGTTTTAAATATACGTCTTGGTTATTATTTGAATTGCTGTCATCTTTTACCTTTTCTTCCTTGCCAATTTTTCATTTTGTGCAAGAAAATCACATTTACCAACAAGGCAGAAATAAATAATCAATTTTAAAATGTGAAAATATTTAGACATTAAACTTTTAGAGACAGGAATAATTTTCCCACTTATCTGAAATAGACTTCATCCAAAGTACTGATACAAAACCAGATTAAGTAATTCTTGAAGACAGTATAAATTCCCACTGACATTGTTTAAGATGTAATTACTGAACAAAATGAGCAAATATGCTCACAGCTATAATGATCTAAGAATACAATCTGAGCAACAGTTAATCCACTGCTAGAAAACACATTGAAATATATGTATTTCAACTATAATTTTCAGCAGATGAATTGAATATTTAATTTCATAAAACAAAAAACTCCAAGTTGTAAAATTATAGAATTAAAATAGTAGGTGGTTACGATTTCTCTTGCTCCTATATCATGACGAATATTTAATTCTCTTTAAAACTATTTAAGCATCCTATATTATTATGTCTCACTTAAAAATATCTACAACTTAGGTGACTTTTTCACAAAACCCAGAGCAATGAGCATATGTCCTCAGACAGTAATTTAACTTTTACTTATTTTTTAGTTAAACATCACCAAAATGTAGGTTTTTGAACTCACTATACTGCATATGTATAGGCAAATTTTTGTTTAAAATAGAATGTGTAACTGTAAAACTGTCTTTAAACAACACAGATTTTATTACAACATTTTTTTAGGTTATGTAATAAATTTAAATCTAAATTTGTGTCCAATTAAAAGTGAGAAGTTATGTTTCCTCTAAACAGGAACAAAGACTAAGTTAATGGTGTAGGAAAAAAAAAATTATTGCCCAGTTTTATGACTCTCAAGTTCACTGATCTTTTCATAGCATTTTGCCAATATGTGTATTTTAAAACAAGTGAAATGAGACCCTACAGAGAACTTACAGACACTTGTCTCTGGATATACACAGGGGTTTCAAAAAGTTCATGAAAAATTTCATTAGCTTTCAATTTCATTTTTCTCCAAACTTTTTGAAGTCCTGTTATAATACTAAAGAAATAAAAGAATAACTTTAATATTTAGGTAGAATTGAAATAATAACTTTGGCAAAGAATACTTTTTCTCTTTTAAAGAGAAAAAGAGGGTGATATTAAGAAATCATGGCTCTCACTTGGATGTGGGGTGAGGGGTTTCAAGGATCAGTTTGTAGGTCTGATAATAAATACAGAGTCTTGTTTCATGGAAATGAATACACTCAGAAATCCTGCAAAATAACCATTACACTAAATAATCCCCTTAAATATTTTAGACGATTTCTGTCTTCTCAAAATTTAGTAATTTCAGAATTGGACACTATTAATATGTAGCCTAATATTATAAACTTAGAAAATTTAAGTGGTGTTTCAGTTTTTAAAATTCCATTTAAACTATTTATTATTAGCTCTATTAATTTTCACAATAACTCTCATATGAAAAGAAAACAAAATGTGAAAAATCAGGTTTTCCAGCTATTCTAATAATGTTCTAAGTATTTATGACTATACTGCCAAAAGGGGGGAAAAAAAAAATCCATGAACATGTAGCATCCATACATAAAATATTCAGCTAGGTATGAAAATTCTTATTGGTCTCAGGAGGAAATAGTTACACTCTAGACAACATTTCGGGCATGCTCCATAAATTCCATATTGATAATATACAAATTGATAGAAACCATTTCCTTAAGACAAATCTATCAATAGGCAGATCCACTAAACTTTCCCCAAAATGTTTTTCATTCTTTCTTCTCTTGAACACAAGCACAAGTAAAACAAATATGATTTTAACTATTTAAAAAAATTAAATAAATTTAATATCTACCAGATTCTCTAAATTATATTTACGTATGAAAAGTGGTTGGATCCTTAATATCTCTATTAAGTATATATAGAAATATATACTTAATATCTCTTTTAAGTATATATAGAAATATATACTTAATATCTCTTTTAAGTATATATAGAAATATATAGTTTTATAAGTATGATTTTCTTTTCCAAGCCCAGTTTTAGTTTCGTTTCCCATTTCCATATCCCTTACCTCTTGATCTTTTTTGGTTTTTCTCTCTAGAGCCTCAAATTCATCTAAATCATTCTTTTCTTTTAATTTCAATTCCATTTCTTCCTTTTCTCTTCTTAGTTGTTCATAGTCTAACACCAGACTATCATAGTTAGTACGGAGTGAGTTCAACTCACTTTCTAACATTTCCTGTTATAAACAAAAACAGATTTTCAATTCAAATCAGAAGTAATACAAACACTACAATCTCATTCTCTTAACTAAAATTTGAAGTAGTCAAATAATCAATGTAATGTCAAATCATTTGTGGCTCATGTCATTGTTTCAATAACTTTTTAATGGTCTAGCTTGATCCACAGTAAATTCATGGGTATATATATATTGTGTGTATGTGTGTATATATATTTTAACTAGAAAATTTAGAACAAAAAAGTGAATGTAAACAAGAGCTCTGACTGAGATAGTTCAACTGGGCAGGTTGGTGCATATTGGATCTCATTTGGCCAAAGATCCTTACGATCCTTTCTCTGGATTAGTGTGATCTATAATAAATCTGATAATTTAATTTCATAGTTGTCCATTTCCTGTTTTATTTCTTAGATGCCTCTGAATTAAGGAAGAGAAATAGAAGTATTACTTACTGGATTCTAACACTCTAATGTCTGCTATGTTTTACCACACTTAAAAAGGCTGTTTCTACTTTCTATGCTATTATGAGAAAGAGGTAAACTATGGGCTAAAACAAAACAAAAAATAACACTAGGGATTTAAGGGGGCAGTGACTCTATAGGATAAGCACTGGACTTCAAACTAAAATGTCGGTGGTTTGAGTCCATCAGCCACTCCACAGAAGATGAGGGTTTCTGCTCCTGCAAAGATTTACAACCTCAGAAACTCTAGAGAGGGTCACTGTGAGTTCGTACTGACTCAACAGCACTTAACAGGGATTTATAACATTTCTAGAGCATATATTAAGAAAAGACTTCTAAAATATGATTTAGAGGCATAAAAGTGCTTGTAAAGCATAGCAATTGTGAGTTGCTCATAATGTGGGCTGCTCATCTCACAGTCAGCAGTTCCAAACTACCATCTGTTCTATAGGAGAAAGATGAGGCTTTCTGCTCCCATAAAGATTTACAGCTTCAGAAACTCTGTATAGGGTCACTATGAGTCGGTGCCGACTCCATGGCACTTAACCACAACCAACAAATACTTTATAGTGATGCATTAATAATAATTTTAGTAAAAATAATTATTAAGAAGCACTGCATTTTATTCTAAAATTAAGTTCTAATAAATTATAAATAATCTAAATTTACTGAAAGATTCTCAACATATTCCTATTTCGTCTCAGAGTTGATAAGACTACATATGATTTATTACCTTTATTATCAATATTATTTAGTAATATTATCCTTTTCTAATGTTTAAGCCTACTACTTAATAACTGAGAATTCCGACGCTTGAAAATCAGTCTTTTCATTCTTCTGGGATTGCCCAAGTCCAAACAGAAATTTTAAAATCATAACAGATTAGAATTGGAACCTGATGGAGAAGAACCAGAAGCACAGCTTTACCTAATAACATACACCTACTTTATTAAGGTGCTCTGGTAGCTTAGTGGTTATGAACTGGGATGCTAACCTCAAGGTCAGCAGTTCGAAACTACCAGCTGTTCTGCGGGAGAAAGATGAGACTTTCTGCTCCCGCAAAGATTTACAGCCTCAGAAACTCTGTACAGGGTCTCTATGAGTTGGAACTGACTCCACGGCACATAACCACCACCACCACCACTTTATTAAATTGTACTCTCCCTCTGGATACTGCATGGTTATCATCTAGGTGTGTAAAGAGCAGAGAAACCTTAACTGCAACCAAAACTGCGTCTGAAATTACATCATACCTAGTAATGTAGGACAACAGTTGAACTCCAGTAATAACGGAGTTTAAAAAAGAATAAAAAGAATAATGTTCTGTAAAATAGATTAAATTACCTGACTTAGAAGCGTTGTTGCTGGATTCCACTCTGTCTCAGTTATTGTATCGAGAGTGTTACTGAAAACATCAGCCTCTGAACAGAGTGCTATAATTAGGGGAAAAAGACACATATCCTTAAACACATTGAAGTTTCCTAAAGACAAGTTACCAAACAATACTCTGATAAGAAGAAATAAGAAGTTCAAATTAGCTAATATATGCTCTGAATATGAATGCCAAAATTAATACTAATAATAGATGCAATCATTTGCATTACTGTATAAATTAAAATCACTGACTGGCATTAGGATCCTTAATATATTATAGGCAATAATGACAAATATCTGAATTTGATACCTGATAGCTGTAAATAAAATTTCAAATGCTTCTAGACGATAAACCATAAAGTTTCTCTTTATAGGGTTGCTTTCATAATGAAAAGACCTTCCACTTGAAAAAGTACTCACATTCATCAATTTCTCCTAGTACAGTTATAGCAGACTTGCGTGCTTTGGGTGCTATATTTGTCATATTAAATTCATTTACAAAGTTTGAATCCTTCATTTTGTTGTTTTTGCCAACACACCATGTAACTCTTCGCTTTTTTTTAGCCTACAGAAAGAAATCAAAATTATTTCACAAAGGATCTGGTCTTAAGCATAATAAAACAAAAGAATTAGTCTCTGTTTTTAAAACCTAGTGACTTAATAGTATTGTTTCTAAGTCCAGGAGTCCCTGGGGAGCACAGTTAAGTGATCAACTACTAACCAAAAATTTGGCTGTTCAAACACACTCAGAAGTGTCCCAAAAGACATGTCTGGCAATCTGCTTCAGAAAGGTCACAGTGTTGAAAACCCCTATGGAACAATTCTACTCTGCACATGGGCAATTAACACTCACACCACCACCTTATTAATCTAAGGTCACTCAATTCATAACGACCCTATATAAGGTTCCTGAGACTATAAATCTTTATGGGAGCAGACACAGTCTTGTCTGTCTCCCAAGAAGCATCAGGTGGGTTTGAACTGTCCAACCTTGTGACTAACAGCCCAGACCTAACCCACAGCACCACCATGGCTCCTAGGAAAGTCCAGTCATATATAAATCCTTGATTCCACAAGGGCCTTCAGTTCCACCACAGCCATCCCCTCCAAAGTCACACCTGAATCTTCTTATCCAAAACCCATTAACCTAGACCTACTCTTATTATAGAGTCCTGGTGTGGTGCTGTTGGCTAATGTGTTGTTTGAACTTCAAGGTAGGTGGTTCAAGCTCACCAGTTGCTCCTTGAAAACCCTATATAGGGTTGCTATGGGTCAGAATCGATTTGACGGCACTTAACAACAACAACAACAACAACACTCTTATTTAATCCCACTATAGCTACTTACAGTAACAGAGACTTCTATTTGCTTGTCCCATGAATTTCTTCCTGCCAGCTCTCTCTTGGATCTTATCCTCTTAGACTTCATTATCACTATTTTAATCACCCTTTTGGGTCAATAACCTCAGCTTATTTGAACCCTTCTTTGTCACTCACATCTATCCCATACATCATATACTCAGATGAATAATGCTGCCTTCTCTGGAACAACTAAGAAGATTGAGTTGCCAGCAACAACCTATTTCTCAATGTTGCCTAAAGACAGTTCACTCCTTCTTAGCTTCTTTTCCATTCTCTGGATTCTAGACTATTTATTTCAAACCCTCAACATCTCTGTAAACTTCTGACTCTACTATCTTCTGCCACCACAGCAGAAAAATTAAACTGATTTTCCAAAACAACTCTCACAATCCTAAATATACAGAAGTATTACTTACACTCATGTTTACATTCATGTTAACATTGAACACACTACTACTCAAACTGACAGCTTTCTTTTTTTTTAACACATTAAAGAAGTCTTGTACAGTGGATGTGCCTAACGAACATGTCGTTTGATTTATTGACTCCTGTTGTTTCCATGAAGGTTGATGATTGTAGAGCAAAGTAAAATGAGTCTGACAACTCCAATCTTTTCTCCATTTTATTTATTGGTCCAGCTCTGAGGATTTTTTTGTTTTCGTTAGATTGAAGTACAATCCATACTGAAGCCTGTCTTCTTTGAACTTCACCAGTAAGATTTTAAGTCTTCTTCAATACCAGCAAATAAGGTTGTGTCATCTGCATATTGCAGGTTTCTACTGAGTCTTCCTCCAATTCTGATACCAATTTCTTCATATAACACAGCTTTTCATATTATTTGATTGGCATACAAACGGAATAAACATGGTGAAAGGAAACAACCCTGCTGTAGAACTTTCCTGATTTTAACCATTCAATATCCCCTTGTTCTGTTTGAATGACTGCCTCTTAGTCTATGAATAGGTTCCTGAGAAGCACAATGAAGTGTTCCAGAATATCCATTCTTCACAATGTTATCCATAGTTTGTCATGATCTACAGAGTCGAAAGTCTTTGCATACTCAATAAAGCACAAGTATTATCTACTTTCAGCCAAGATACAGTGACACTAGCAATAATATTGCTAGTTGCTTGTCCTATTCTGAATCCACCTTGGATTTTCTGGCAGTTCTCTATCGATGTACTATTGTAACCATTTTTTAATTATCTTAAGCAAAATTTTTACTTGCATGTGGTATTGATGACATTATTTGATGATTTTCGCATTCTTTTGAGTCACTGTTCTTTGGAATGGACATAAATATAGATCTCTTTGAATTGTTTGGTCTTCCAACTACCATCTACTTTGGCATAGATGAGTGAGTGCCTCTAGTGCTGCATCTGTTTGTTGAAAGATTTAAATCGGTACTCCATAAGTTCCTGGAGCCTTGTATTTTTGTCAATACCCTTAAGTACAGCTTGAACTTCTTCCTTTAGGACCACTGGTTCTTGATCATATGCTACCTCTAGAAGTAATTGAACATTGTCCATTTCTTCTTATACAATGACTGTGTATTCCTTACATCTGTTTAGATGCTTTCTGCATCATTCAATATTTTGCCCAAGATAGTGGTAGTGATTATGTGCCGGTTAGTCGGTTTGGATTCATAGTGATCCTGTATATGATTTCCGTGGTTGTAAATCTTTATGGGAGTAGAAAGCCTTATCTTTCTCCCGCAAAGCAACTGGTAGATTAGAACTGCTGACCTTGTGGTTAGCAGCCTACCTCTTAAATCCCTATGCTACCAGCGCTATTTATTAGAACCTTTCAATAATATAAGTCAAGGCTTGAATTTTTTTCTTCCATTATTTCAGCTTGAGAAATATTGAACACTAGGAAATGACAAACACAACTCAAATCCAGAAAGCCTAGCTGTAAAGGCCATCCTCTTAACAAGACACCATAGAGAGAAAAACAAAAATCTATTGACTAAATTAAACCCTGACTCTACTAAGGAACAACAGAAAAGCAAAATGGAATTCCAGAATTTTGATCACTCAGTTAAGCTATATTCTAGATCAATGTTCTTTATGTTAAGATTTGTTTACCTTAAAAAGAAAAATATTCCCAGATGTCCTAGAGACCAGTGGTTCCCAATGATTTTCATTAGAATTTCTTAAGAACCAATTACAAACAGAATTTTTGGTTATAATTGAAACTTTTTGAATTAGAATCGCTACATGTGTGATTCATATTTCTAATAAACTGATTAGGTACTTTTGATGAATAGGTAAACACACAAAATATTTTGGGCTTCTTAAATATACTGTATCAAAAAATCAGAAGCATAATTAAATATAGCTATCACGATATCAATTTTATTCTTTTTATACCAAGTATAAGTTGTTATCTTTTATATTTTACCTTTAATTCCTGGTGTGATGTGAGGGAAGAAGAGGTTACTAGCATTTGTGTTAGATTTTGAATTTTTTCTATTTGTACTTTTTGAAGCAAGTCTTTTTCTTCCAAAAGTTGGGCCAGTTGGTCTTTCTCCATTGCCTGAGCCCGAGTCTCTGAAGAAACCTATAGGATGTAAGTTTTAGTTATGTTAATGATACTGAATTTGTATATGAAGTTTGATAATTACAGTTTTATTGAAACAAAATATGTTTACCTCTAGAATACCAATATGCAGTTACCACAATCAATAATTTCTCAATCTTTAAGTAGAATATGTATTTCTTCTCACACCACTATTCCATATGCCATTTAAAATATTATTGACAAAGTTGTTGAGGCAATTCTAATTATTAATTGATAAGAACATATGGAAACTGACGAAGGTCTTAAAAAAAAAGATTGAACACCAAAACAAAGCTAGAAATGTTCTTAACCTTAAGACTAACAATTGATATTTCAGCTCATTTTTAAAAGAGATCATTAACTACAATTTTTACAAAATATGGGACCATAGAGTTAAAATAAACAAATTAGAATGGCAAGTCATTATGCCATACTATTAAGACTGTTATCTTTGGATTAGAAAAAGAATTCAAGATAATGTGAAAATTCAGAATATACAGTTAACTAATTATACATGTTTTCTCCTTTTATCTAGTTCCATGTTTTGTGATAAGAAAAAAATTAAAATATCTTTGCTGAAGCATCAAAATTTTACCTTTGTAAATGAAAAACAGAATGTAAAATAATTTTAATAAACGAAATCATTTAGTTTGTACTAATTTAAACTACTATCCCCAAAGTCTGACATAAATGCTTCCTCTAATCTGAGTTAATTTCTTTTTAGCTGAAAAGAATTTATTTTAGCATCCAGTGTTGATACATTAAGAGTCTCTGGGCATTTGGCAGACCTCAACTCTAAATCTGTCCCTACTATGCTTTACTGAAATACGTGGCTCATACATACCTCCTCTAATTGTTTTTTAAGATCCATTATTTCTTTTCTGTATCTTTTCAGGAGCGCTTCATCACTTGATACCTCATTAACATAAGGAGTGTTTTTCATATATTTAGCAGTGCTGGCAAACTGGGGAAAATTGACAAGATTGTTAAGTGTTCAACATAAAAAGAAGAAAAAAAAAATTAGTTTAAGGTAATAGTACTGGAGAATAGGTCTGGTCTTCAGTGTTTTTAAGTGCCGTGGAGTCGATTCCCACCCATAGCAACCCTGTATAAGGTTTCTAAGAAGAAGCTGGTGAGCTTGAACTGCCGACCTTGCAGTTCAAACGGCTTTGCAGTCTGGCTCATTAACCCACAGCGCCACACCAAGACTCCCTGGTCTTCCCTATAAGACTCTAAATCCTTGACGCTAAAGACTATTTTCTATATTTATATCTCTGATAATACCTTGATCCAATGTTGAAGAACTTTTAAAGGAATGTTTCTCAGAGTATGAGCATAAGAAGTGACTTTAAGTAAGTACTTGGAGGTGAATATTAAATAATGACAAATTTTAGTTGAGAGGCTATTCTATTGAAATTTCTTTTATCCCTTTTTAAAAACAAACAGAAAATACAGCTCTTAGGTTCAGAGCATTTGGCAGTCAACAGTTAAATAACAAGAATTTAAGAATTATTTTGTTACACTTACATATGTGCACACTTTTTTTGGTTATCTATTTGGATACATGCACACACACACATATATATGTACGATATGTTTTTGTCAAAATAATGTGTGTGAATAGTGTATATATTTGTGGAAAATGTGTATATACACATACATACCTGATGGTGCTGTAGAGTAAGCACAGGACTGCTAGCCACAAGGTTGGTAGCTTAAACCTTATAGCTGCTCCATGGGAGAAAGACAAGGTTTTCTGTTCCCGTAAAGCTTTACAATCTCTATGAGTTACAATTAACTGAATGGTAGTGTGTCTGGTTTTTGGTATATGGCAAGTGATACTATCTAATTAATGGTAATAATATAAAGTTATCTTTTCAAATAAATTCAGTTTAAAAAAGTGAGTTATTTAAAAAATATATATATAAAGTCAACTCAGAAAGCCATACTTGAACATAGCAAAAAAATGTGCAAGTGAGATACAAATGATTGGAACTTGGAAAAATTAAGGAACACTACTTAGTTAGCAATACATCAATTTTATAATACGTATGCTAAATTAATTTTAAAACAAAATAAACTAAGCCTAATTTTGCTGTTGCTGTGTGTCCAGTTGGTTCTGACTCATAGGGACCCTGTGCTGAGTCTCCGAGGCTGTTAATACTTTACAGGAGCAGAAAGTCTCATCTTTCTCCTATAGAGCGGCTATGTATCTCTAGTAGCGGCTATGCTACTAGAGCTCCTTCAACTTAATTTTGTTGTTGTTGTTAGGTGCCATTGAGTCGATTCTGACTCATAGCATCCCTGTAATGGGTTTCCGAGGAGTGGCTGGTGAGTTTGAACTACTGACCTTGCTGTTCAAACCAATCTTGCATTCATTCCAGTACTTATCCTACAGTGTGCCTGCCACCTCGGAAATCCCAGGCTTAATATTAGTAGGCACTTTTTTTGCCTTAAGTTAATCACCCCAAACTAATGTGACATAAAAATCAAACCTACCTGCAGAGTAGTAAGGGTTTCATCAAAGGACACTGGAGTAATAGTGCAGATAATGCGTGTTTTCGCATTTCCTCCCAAGGAATTCTGGAGAATTCGTGTTAATTTGCTATCTCGATAATTTATGAAGCCACTTATTGAGAAATGGGTTTGGGAAGTAAAAGTAAAGAATTTTAATATAACAAAAGTGGTTGCTTTTTAATGTTTATTTTAGCTACAATTTAAAAAATTAATTATTTATAGGTTACATGAGGCAGTCCATAATGACTATGTAAAACAGACAGTAAATTCAATAGGTTAACAGTCATATGTATAAGAAGCCATGCATGCTCATATCACAAACAGTTTTGAATATATGGAAGAAATCAGTATTTTTATTTAGAGTGCCACTAAGATGTTAAAAGTTTCAACCTAATTTTCAAAAATTAAATAAAAAACTTAAGCATTGATAAAAAAAAGTATAGAGTGGGATAAACTTACCCAACTTGTCCATCACTCAGTTTCTTGATCACTTGCCCCAAGATAAATAAGCTTCGATTTATATTACAGCCTTCCTTGAGTCGCACACCTGAATTTATTAAATAAATATTACAACTAACCTTTGTACTGCATGAAGAACTTACTTATCATTAAGTTATGAGAAAAATGAGAAATTCAAAAGTCAGATGCTAAAGTCTATGTTTTGGATTGGACCTCAGCCTATACTTAACATCACTGGTAGAAGGAGTGCTCTCCTTATTCCTCCCACTTGTTAAATCAGAAAGGGTTGTTACCTCAGAGAAGTAGCAAAAATAAGAGGGCTATGAAAACAAAGACAGGTGGGGGGAAAAAGTCTATTTTCTAAAGTAGCCTAACTCTCACATTCAAATAAATTTTTTACCCAATTTTTACGATATAGGCAACCATGGACTTTAATTTCTTATTTTTATAGGGTAATTACACGGGTAAAATGTAAAATGTTTTCTTAAAAAAAGGTACACTCTCGAAAAATCTCCCTCTCACTTTATCCCCATTCAATTAGTTCCCATTTCTCCACCTGGAAGCCACTATTTTCTGTTTATTCTTACAGAGATTTAAAAAATACAAGTCAATATATATTAACTGCCACTTTCCTTATTTTACATGGAAGATCGGCTGTTTGCACCCACCTGTTGCTCCACAGAAGAAAGATGTGAAAGTTGGTTTCACAAAAGATTGTTGTTGTTAAGTACCATTGAGTCAATTCTGACCCATAGGGTTTCTGAGGAGCAGCTGGTGAGCTTAAACTACTGACCTTGCAGTTCAAACGGCTTTGAAGTCTAGTGCATTAACCTACAGCTCCACACCAATACTATAGCCTTTAAAATGTGATGGGGCAGTCCTACTCTGGAGTCACTATGATTTGGAATTCACTGGGCAATACTGAGTTTTTAGGTTTTCCCTTTTTATTCAAATAGTAACAGTCTACACATAGCACTCAGGGACTGCAGTGGCTCTACAGGATAAGCACTGGACTGCAAACCACAAGGTTGCCAGTTCAATTCCACCAGAAGTTCCCTGGGAGAAAGATGAGACTTTCTGCTCCTGTTAAGGTTTAGAGCCTCAGAAACCCTATACTGGCTTGCTATTAGTTGGAACTGACTCAACATCATGTGACAACAAAATATATACCTTTCTGGACTTTGCTTTTTTTCTTAACTTAGTAACCTATCTTTGAAAATTTTCCTTACCAGTAAAAAAGGGGATAATTCCATTATTTTCAGCAAAATAAAATTCCATTGTATAGATGTTTTAGAATATATTTATCCAGCCCCCTTTGGATGCACACATAGATTTTCAATTTATCAACTTTAAAAAAAAAACAAGTCCTAAAATAATTCTGAACAGATGTTATTTCACAGAGTCTTGATGAGGCGCTGTGGGTTAATGCACCAGACTGCAAAGCTGTTTAAAAACTGCAAGGTTGGCAGTTCAAGCTCACCAGCTGCTCCTCGGAAATCCTATACAGGGTCACCAAGGGTCGGAACTGATAGAACTTACCAATGATAGTCAACTACTGTAATAGTACTGCTTAACAAATCACCTTAAATGAAAAGCATTCATTTCTTGTTTAAGGTCTGAAGACTTGTTAATCTGCTGGATATTGGTCAGGTTCTATTTCTGACTGCAGGATGAGTTTAGATTGGCTTTAAGCAATCTCTCATCTTCTTTGGATCAGTAAGTAGTTCTTCTTGTGGCCAATGGAAGGAGCATAAATGTGAGCTAAAATACTCAGGCAAACTCTTTGCCCAGTTTTCTGTTGTTTTTTCCTCTTTTTTTAATTAGTATATAGGAACTCTTAGTATATTAAAAGAGATTAGCCCCTTGACTATAATATAAGCTGCATGCTTTTTGTTTGTCATTTTTCTTTGCCATGTGGTCTTTGCCACACAGAAGTTTTTTAATTTTGGTGTACTCAAATGTATCAAGCCTTTAAACCTTTTGAACTTGTTAGAAAGGTCTTCCTCACTGCAAGTTATCTTCCAGCAACTTTTTTTTTTAAGCAATAATTTCATGTTTTCTGTGGAAGTTTACATAGCAAATTAGGTTCCAATTTAACAATTTCTATACATATTCTATATATTCTATATAAATGCATGATGTTGTTGTTCTGCCGTCAAGTCATTTCTGACCAATAGCAACCCTGTATAGGGTTTCTGAGGAGCAGCTGGTGAGCTTGAACCGCCAACCTTGCAGTTCAAACAGCTTGGCAGTCTGGCGCATGATAGAATTCGGCAGTATCAGTGATTTCTTCATTTCAAATACCTTCTTTAGACAGCATAAGAGATGACTATACAGATGGATCTCATTACACTCATTATTTCATTGCAATAATTACAATCTCCTCTGTGTATCATATCAATCAACAGTATTTGCATCTAATCCCTCTGTTTTTTTTGGGGGGGTGTACAACAAAACACTCAGGAACATATAATCATTTAAACAACCAAAGGGCACATTCTGCAAACCTGCCTCCTGGCCGCATGCACATAGCCTTTCCTTTTCTATGAGTCTAGAGTCCTCAGCTGCTCTATTTCTCCATGTCCTCATCTCTGTCTCCATCTGTGGTGTCACTACCTCTCTGGATAGGGTCCCACGTACTGCTTCTGCTCTTCCGTCTTGATTGTCCTAGGGTCCTATGTAACTACTCCCCTCTTTTTGTTACAAAATTCATACCTTTACTGTTTTAACAGTTGCAATTAGTCATGATATTATTACTCACTATTGGATCATAAGACTCTTATCTTCATATCTTTTCACCATTTTAGGTTGCCAATGTCTAAGTTGCCCATTCCTATCAACCCTGTATACAGAGGGGATTGGATTGATACTTCATGTGAAGACTCCTTCCTTCTCAGTTGGTATTTTGAGCTACTACATCCATAAGTATAGGTCAAGTTCATAAAATTGTTATGCTGAAACCTTTTATCAGCAAATTATTATTATCAGTTTCTAAAATGCCTGACAGTACTTTTTATCTGGTATTAAAAGAACAGGTTGACAATCAATAAGACTAACACATTTCATGGGTTTTCATTACCTTCAGCTCCTGTTTGAGCAGCTCTTTCACTGCCAGCAAGATCTACCAAATTCTGTAAAATAGATGAAGATCATCTTTAATGATAAAAGCTGAACTTTGAAGACATTTTTAATACATGGTATACCTGACTATCTCATCTGTCTCCCAACCCGCTCTTTAGGCTCTTTCAAACCGGGCTCTTCTTCATTATGTATCACACATAATGCAGGCAAAGTAGGTTTTCTATTCCCTATATGAAGTCAAACCAATGTCTTAGTTTATGGAGAGGTTTCTCCATACTACTCCCAAAATGCTCTATCCTGTCCCTCCCTCTTCGAACACACTTTAACTTATCCATAATAAAGTTATCATTATATTTCTTGTCATTTTCTCTTTAAACAAACTACCTACTGTAAAATGAAAGCTCCTCGAGAATAGGGGCCTTATTTCTCTAGTTCACTGTTGTATCCCCAGCACTTAACACACTGCCTGGTTCCCATTGCCTTTGTTTTGTGCCGTGGAGTCGGATCCGACTCATAGTGACCCTGTACAGGGTTTCCGAGGCTGTAAATCTTTATGGGAGCAGAAAGCCTCATCTTTCTCCCGCGGAACAGCTGGTAGTT